ATATATATATATATGTATACATATATATTAGCAATAACTTGTTCAGTGTTGTGAAACCAAGAAACCAAGAAAAGCATTTAGCTTTTCTCAAGAAAAACTTTGTTTATTCTTCTGTTTATAGCGACAGATGAACTGGCCTGTGAGCAATAAATGAAAACTGTCTGTAGCCTGATTGTTTCCTTGTAAAATGTAATTAGGAAAAAAGACTTTGTGCTCTAATGGTTTCTGTTGTGCTTTAATTGTATTCAGCTCATGTGTTATTTTATAAGCACATGGCTTCTTCTGCACATTATTTTTTATTGTATATCAACCCCCAGTTCTTCTTCCAAACGGTAAATTGCAGATTAGTTTTCACAATACACATTTTTGTAAAGTTGGACAGTTATTTTCTTTAGTTCATTAGGGAAATAATGCATATATGTGGCCTGTTTTCATCACTAGACTAAAGATGACATAGTTTTAATCCTTTTACTTTCCAGCAAGAGTATCAGAACCACATTCTCACTTCCTTTAAAGCAGCTGTTTCCATAGTAGGGGTGGAGGTCCAAAGTGTCAGTTAAGAAACGATAAATAGGGGTTTATTTCACCAAGACTGTTAGAAAGAACAAAAATGTGTATTGGTCACTGCTTTACATGCTGACAAGTTTTAAACAAAGTTTTCACATGATCCCAAATTTTAGCTCAGAACCTGTCATAGTCCAACATTTTTCAGTCAGGTCATCTGGACAGTTTATTTTTTGTGCTTTTTCAGCACAAAAAATAAACTGTCCAGATGACCTGACTGACAAATGTTGGATTGTATACCTGGATTATTGAGCAAGGACTTTGTTGTTTTTTAACCTGTCATAGTAGCTGAGTCACAGACATTTTTGTGTTTTCTAAGTTCAGAGGGCTGCAATGGATAAGATAAGATTAGATAAGATAAGATACTGCACTAACTAGGAAAGTTAAATAAATGCAGTAATTATGACAAATGAGCCCCCAAAAATTGTTAAAACAAGATAGTGTATAAATACTGTAAAGTTCTATATGGACATTTATATCTATGCAGTGCATAGAGTTTGATGTGCACCCAATGATTTTTTATTTTAAGTTGCTTTCTTGGTGGAGCAGTTGGTAGAGCCTCTCATTGAGCAGGTCACCCCGGTTCAACCTTTCTGTGTGAAGTTTGCATGTTCTCTCTGTGCATGCGTGGGTTTTCTCCAGGTACTCCATTTTCCTCTCACAGACCAAAATCATGCATGTTGGGCTGATTGGTAACTCTAAACTGTCCCTAGATGTGAGTGCTAGAGTGAAGTTTGTCTCTATGTGGCCCTGTGATAGATGGAGACCTGTCCAGGGTGTCCCCCGTCTCTCACACAGTGATAGCTGGACATGGGTGCCAGTGACCCAAAAAGGAAGACGCGGGTAAAAGATAATGGATGAACGTGGCTTTCATTAAAATCTGTAGTTCACAAGAATCGTTATAGATCCTTAGTACTGCTTCTTTTACAATTTATATTTTTGCTATTGTTGGATGTAACTGGGACCCTGAGTACACAATTTTGTTCCACCTCATGTACCACACGTGATGCGAATGACAATAAAGAACCTTTAACTTGAATCCAACAGTTAGAGCCAAAGTTTTAACAAAAATCTCACACAATCTGTTTGTGTTCAGATTATTTATTGGGGATGATGCTCAGTTACACCAAATTACATAGCTCATAATCCGTAGAATTGGCTGAGTTACAGGCATTGTTTGTGTTTGCAAGGGTTGATTATTTTGAAATATTTTACTAAAAGACAGACAGGATTGAATCCAACAGTTAATGTCCTGCCAGATCCTCCCAAAACAAAAAGTTTGGGGACCATGGGGACCATAAGTGCACACAGTTGAACTTGTTTGTCCGTGCTGTGCCTCCCCCACATGTCTAATGCGTATTTTAATCCCTCAGATTGAATGTCACGGTGTCTGTGACTCAACGACCTTTGACCTCAGACTTCTGTGATTGGCTGTTTCCAGGTGCAGTGGAGATTCCCGCATATCTGGTTGGCTGTTTTGCTATGGACCGGATTGGAAGGAAGATGACGTGCGCCCCAGCGCTGCTCTTGGCCGGAGTCTCGTGCATGCTCATCATAGTGGTGCCGGCTGTACGTACACACAAACACACAGCATTTCTCACAATGTTTAAGCATTTAGGCCATGTAAAATAGTCCTTTAAATACTTTTTTATCATTATTGCACACCACTGAAGACAAAAGTAGGGAGGTAATTATTTTGCCTATGCCCGTGTTTTCATTTGACTGTACTTTTAGCAAAATATCTCATAAAACAAGTAGACAGACTTTTAATGAAAGTCACAAAGTAAATATTGGATGAATTTTTACAACTTATTACCTTTTGGAGTCAATCCCACTCTGCTGCAACAAATTAATCTCAGCAATCAGAACCACATATTTACACATATTGAACTTGCATTCGGTGTGGTAGTAACTGAGACTGATCTCATATTGTAAACACTAAGAAGTTTATAAAAAATCTGACAATAACTGTTGGAGTCAGCTCTGTTTGTTAGCACAATATCTCACGAACCACTGGATGGATATTAAGGATATTCATAGTAAGCAATCATTTAGTGTACCTCTACAATTGATGACATTTTGGTGTAAACCCAATTTAAGATGGCCGCCACATCCATTTTTTTTTATTTTTTTTTTTTTACAAAACATAAAAATGCTCATAAGTCAGGAAATTGTAGAGATATTGAGCTAACATTTGAGCATTAACACATCCCTGCGGTGGCCACACCAAATGAAAACAGTATAGTCCTTCGTGGACTTCTCGATTATTAACATTTTATGTTTTAAACGTTTTCCTGACAGCTTTTCTGCTGTGAAGTTGATAAAAGTCTACTTAGGTTGTGTAATTCAGCGAGGCAGAAACAGGAGCAGGCTGAGTGCTACCGGAGCTATATTTAAACCAATTCCTGCTCTTGGACAGAGCACTCTCTCTGTTTACCGGCTGCCCATGCAGCTCACCAGATATATGGCGGGTCGGCGATCTGCGCTCCGACCCATGCTCACCATGGTCAACATTTCAAGTAAACATGACCTTTGTATTCTGGAGTTGTTTTTAACAGTGACTCATTTACTGTAGTCAAATTTTTATTGATATTGTTCTTTTGCATTTTTACTCACCAGGCAGCTGAGTTTGAATGTAAAACCCTTTGCAGATGTTCACATAGCAGAATGTATATGAACCACATGTCAGCTTTATAAACATGCTACACTTTCTAAAGCAACTGCAAACGAGTCACGGAGGTAAAATGTTTGCAGTCTTTTATAACTAACTCCACTATTACCTTTAATTTATTACTGTAAGATATTATTATTAAAGAGCAATTATTCCTTAATGGAAAGAATATTGTCCTACTGTTGATTATCTGTGGTAGCCATCTTCAATTGGACTGAGTCTAAATTAATCAGTTGTGGTGCACAGTGATTACATCCTGATAGTTTAATTTAATCCAACAAGTGGTTCACAAGAAACTTTGCTAAAGAAAACAGAAAGGATTGATTCCAGTTGGTGCTAAAGTTTTCAACAAACATCTCACACAATCTGTGCATCATACGTTGTGGATGCTCAGACACTACCACACAACACTATAGCTCAGCATTTGTAAAGTTTTGAGGCTGCAGTGGCTCAGTGGTCAGTGCTGTGGTCTTGTAATCCTGACGCTGCAGGTTCAAGTCCATGTTGGTTCAGATAATAAATAAGGAAATGCTAAAAACCTATGGTTATGCACAACACCAAACTGAACAAAAAAGAACATTTTACTTCTCTGTGACTTTAATATTGTGGCTGATAAATTTGCAAATTTTTCCAACATGTTAATGTCTATGCAATCAGCAGATAAAATGCAAAACAAAATATGCTTGCTGCAACTATGTGGGCCATTAGAGTATAAAATGTTTGTGAAAAAGAGATCCAGCTTTTTTCTTACTGAAACCCTGATTCAACGCGACATGAAAGAAGTCCTGTGCCCACAAAGGAGTTATTTATATGTTGGCCGAGTCCAGTGAACATCATTGCAATGCATCATGCGATGCAAAAAAATAAAATAAAATGGAATATATAAATTAACAAAAAAAAATCTGGCATATTTTGGGTTAATTAGTGACATCATGCTGCACTCTGAGCTTGTTGCAGTAAATCCACCCTCTGTCCTCTTTGATAAAGACCTCTAGTCATCCTATTTCTGTCTCAGGGTTTTGTGACAAAGGATTTTTCTCATCATTTGCATAAATCTTCCAGTTGTTTTAATTTTACTTGCCACCAATTTTAGAAAATCTGGCAGACCTGTTGGACCTCATCCGCATGGCAACAGCAGCTTCCCGCCTCAACGGGCTCCCAGAAAACGCCTGAGGAATGACTCAGAGAACACAACCAAGTTCTGAAGGGTCCAGCCCTTAAACTCGTCAGGAACGGGTCTGGTGGAGTAGCAAGCTTCAGAAACCTCACTCCACGATCCACCAGGCTCAGAGGTTCTGTGACCCAGAACCAGACAACTCAGGAACCTGACAATGTGTTTGTGTTCGTGACCTGATTAAATATGGCTCTTCTTTGGTCTCTCAGAAATAGATAAATTATATGCAAATGAGCAAAATAAACCCCTCATTTAGAATACAAACCATTAGATAAATGTCAAACATGTGTCCTTGATGATCTTTACCATCTATTATCATCTCTGCAGGACATCCAGGCTCTGGCTGTCACGCTCAGCATGATTGGAAAGTTTGCTGTTGCAATCGCCTTTGGTCTGATCTACCTGTACACCTGTGAGCTTTACCCAACCATCATCAGGTAAGAACATCATAAACCTGTTGTCATTAAACATTGGCCAGTATACTGAAGATGGCAGCTGCAATTGCATTCCTCAAATGCAGTGGTGGAATGTAATTAAGTACAAGTACTTTGTTACTGTACTTAATACATTTCTCATGTATCTATACTTTACTTAAGTAGAGTTAAACGTGGGTACTTTCTACTTTTACTCCACTACATTTTACATTAAGTATCTGTACTTTCTACTGCACTACATGGGTCTCTGATGTTGCTCCAGCTGAGGTTGTCATTCATGTGTACACCCAAGTACTTGTAACTGGAGACCACTTCCACCGCAGATCCTCTTATGTTCAGGGGGGTGTAGGTGTTTTTGTTCCTTCTGAAGTCCACAATCATCTCCTTTGTCTTCTTCACATTGACGTGAAGGTTATTCTCTTTGCACCAGCTCTCCAGGTGTTCCATCTCTTACCTGTAACTGGACTCATCATTGTTTGTGATGCATCCCACCACCGTTGTATCATCTGCAAACTTTACAATGTGACAGCCTGGATGGGTAGCTGCACAATCATACGTGAGCAGAGTAAACAGGAGGGGGCTCAACACACATCCTTGAGGAGAGCCAGTGCTGAGGGTTATGGTGGAGGAGGAGAAGTTGTGGATCCTCACTGACTGTGGTCTGTTTGTTAAGAAGTCTAGTACCCAGTTGCAAATGGAGGGGCTTAGTCCTAGTGTGGATAGTTTGTCCATCAGGGTTTGGGGGATCATGGTGTTGAAGGTGGATGTGAAGTCAACAAAGAGCATACGGACGCAAGAGTCTTTCTGCTCCAGGTGCTTGAGCGCAGTGTGGACCACAGAGGAGATGGCATCCTCTGTTGATCGGTTTTCATGGTATGCATACTGATGAGGGTCCTCGTTGATGTTGATGGTTGTTTTGATGTGGGTCATGACCAGTTTTTCGAAGCATTTAGAGACTATCGGGGTGAGGGCCACTGGCTGAGAGTCATTAGGTTAGGACAAGAGACAAGAGGTGTCTCCAAATGGCTTGACACTCGAATCCAAGTTTTGAAAATGGTGTCAGGAAGTTAAAATATCATTCACTATTGACCCATTACAAGGTTGACTAGACAGTATTTTAACTAGAGTTTGAGACTAGAGTCCTTTGGTAGGTCTAATGCTCCTTTTTTCAGGCAGACAACCTTTACTTAAATGTGTCTACTGCAGTTAAAATGACACATTGGTTTTGCTTTGTGTTAAATAAAAACTTTCAAAGGTAAAATCATTCCTCGTTCTTATTTTGATTAATGACATTTAACTCTGCACATCATCCCTGAAATTCTGACGCACAGAATCACAAGTCCAAGTGTGAACGGTGTCGCAGAGTAAACACAATAAAAACATGTATTATCTGAAGCATTGTTCATTAAAATGACACAACACTATTAATGCGTTACAGAAAATATACATATGGTAGGTACACAATGATATTGTAGACCATTGCATTAGGTAATATATTCAGCAAGTACTTTTACTTTTAAAACTTTAAGTATTTTTCAAAGCAAGTACTTATTTACTTTTAAATAAAAATGTTAATGTGGTACTTCTACTTTTTCTAGAGTACATTTTTGTCTGTTTATTTGTACTTTTACTTAAGTACAGTGTTTGAGTACTTTCTCCAGCACTGCTCAAATGTGAAATCCTAATTAAGAAGTCCTTATATTAGTCAACTCATAGAGTCACATTATTATCACTTCTCTGAGTGTTTTTTTTTTTGTTTGTCAAAATCATTCTATTTAAGCTCTTTTTTTTATTTATTGTTTTACTTTATTTAACTGAACAGTTGATCCAGACTGTATGTTCCTCCTTCAGATCTCTGGCAGTGGGCAGTGGCAGTATGATGTGTCGTGTCGGCAGTGTGGTAGCTCCTTTCTGTGTGTGCCTGGCTGATGTATGGACCTACCTACCTCAGGTACAAGCTCACCTTTTCCTCTGCAAACATGATGCTTAATGTTCAATCAGAAGATTGTTTTTTTTCCCCCCCAGGGGAATTAGGAAGTGCTTTTCAGATTATTGCACATAGGACAGAAGAAAAATGATGATACTGATCTGTGTCTGCAGGAAATCTTACTAAAGCTGTGTGGTTCAAACGTGCAGAGAAGCAGCAGAAATTAAAGTCTGGATTTGTTTAGTCTCACAGGATGGGAAGAAAACCTGAGCGCCAAACTGTTTTGAGAATCCTCTCAGCTTTATCTACAGATTAATCCAACTGTAGTTTTCTCAGAGTTACATCTGTGAGCTCTCAGCGAGGCCGAGTCGATAAGGGCTGCTCACAGAAACCAGTGTGTGCTTGTGCATGTGCGTCATCACGCCTCAACGAGGTTGGAGCAATGTCCAATCTTCAGCAGGTGTTTAGATGTATTTCTATCTGACTCTGGGCAGATTGAGTGAACGCAGCAGTGTTTCTCTGTAGATAAATCATCTGTCTGTGCAGCTCATTGTAGGAATCCTGGCATTCATCATTGGAGTGCTGACTTTGCTGCTGCCCGAGACGCTGGGTGAACCCTTAACGACCACCCTGGAGGAGGCTGAGTCTCTCGGACGTGATCCCAGGAAGAAGAACTCGAACCCGAACGACAAAGACGCAGAGGAAGGGATGGAGCTGAATCAAAACGAAGCAAAGGCCTGAGCTTGCGCTGTGGGGGGAAATAAAATCACAGCTGGAGGAACAGAACGGACAAATGAGGGTTGATGCAGCAGTTTTCAGGATTTTGAACTGTTGGAAGAAAAAGAAAAGCTTTCTTGAAACTGTTGCAATGTCTGTTTTGTTTGTTCTACGACCTGACCAATAGTTGCAAAGTGTTCTGCAAACTGCATCCATCAGTCACAGTGTGATCATGAATTCCGTAGTATTCTGTTCTGCGTGGTATTTACATGTATATGTGGTAACTTACAGAAAAGTGATGAATACTAAAGGACAAATTTATAAGACTTTTTGAAAGATAAAGTAATTCATATGATTTAACTGGTACTCAGTTCATTGCGTTACCACTGTTACTCTACAAATAGTACATGAATGATTTCTGTTAAAGTGTATTTTTATGTTAAAAGAAGTGTCTCTTTTAATTTAAGCCCACTTAATGCGTTGTAATCTCAGGGAGTGTGTTTTATTGTGAAACTGTCTGAAAACTGTTAAAGTTGTAACTGCAGTTCAGGTCTTTCTTGTTTAAGATGACATTGTTGAGGTTTATTTTTAAATTTCTTCTTCTTTCAGCTTTTCCCTCTTCAGGGGTCTCCATAGCGAGTCATCCTCCTCCATCTCACTCTGTCCTCTGTCCTCACTCCATCTACCTCCATGTCCTCTCTAACTGCATCCATACATCTCCTCTTTGTCTTCTTCCTGCCAGCTACATGTCTAACATCCTTCTACCAGTATACCCACTGTCCCTCCCTCCTCTGGTCATGTCCAAACAATTTCATTCTGGTCTCTCCAACTTTATCTCCCAGTTGTTCAACCTGTGCTGCACCCTCCACCTTGAAGCTGTCACTCTTACAGCACATCTCACCACTGTCCTGCTGTCCTCATACATGTCCTGTACCAGTCTAACATACTTCTCTGCCACTCCAGATTTCCTCATGCAACACCACACCTCCTCCCTCGGCACCCTGCCATATGTTTTTTCTAAATCCACAGACACAACGGAGTTCTTTCTGACCCTCAGCATCCTCAAAGCAAAGATAACATCTGTGGTGCTCTTTCTGCATGAAACCATACTGCTGCTCACAGTCACCTCTCTACCAGATCTTTATTGATTTCACAAGATGAAATAATTTTTTTTTAAATTCTCCAAATTGAGTTAATTTATTTTAACATCTAATGTGACTTTAACTATGGGCATGTTTTGGATGTTTGTGTTAAAGGGATAGTTCAGATCTTTTGTATTGTGGTTCTGTGGAAACTAAACCATTAATATCTTACATGTTGCAGATAACTATTTGAATGGTCTTTGGAGAAATGGGGTCATGCTAATGCAATTTTCAGTTTTTCATTGTACTGATACAATAGTAGAAATATAAGAATTTTGCCAGAAGTGCTACTGCTAGCAGCAACCGTCTATATGTTTATGCTAGGGGATAACAAATTGATTCAATGTAAATAACTGTGAAAGTGGCAGCAGTGTCATTGCTTATAAAATGAACCCCTTTGAAAGTTCTGAAACTTGTGTAGTTCACTTTAATCTCAACTTCGCTCAGACCAGCCATTAGCTTTTCCTTCTGGTTTAAATTCAACTTTATTTCAAACCAAGACCCCACACAAAAAAACCAAAAAATAACCTTTTAAGTTTGCTCCTCAGTTTTCTATGTAAACTGAATTTGCAATCTAGATGCTGGACACACTAAAGATAAAAGCACATATTCTTTAGTAATGCCACGGTAATGAAACAAAGCACATAGTGCTGTGTCTAAAGCAAGATGGCTACTAAAGCTTTAGACGTAATAAATATAGTATTCGTGCCTAGAAGTCAACTTTTTTTTAACAAATTGCTCCTTTGAAAGTATTAATTTATTTGTTATCATAAAAAAGACTGACACAGACATTGTTTTATAAGATGAATAGTTGAACAGTAATCCTGAAAAGTGGCACGGTGGCGAAGTTGGCAGGGCTGCCACTCTCATCGAAGAGGTCTCCGGATCAAATCCTGACCAGGTCTTTCTGGGTGAAGTTTACATGTTCGCTCTGTGCATGTGTGGGTTTTCTCTGGGTACTCCGGTTTCCTACTACATGCCAAAAACATGCATGTTATTCTGATTGGTAACTCTAAATTGTCCCTAGGTGTGAGTGAGAGAGTGAATGGTTGTTTGTCTCGTTTGTCTCTGTGTCCCTATGATGGACTGAAGACCTGTCCAGGGTGTCCCCGGCCCCTCACACAGGGACTGCTGGATATGAGCACTAGTGACCCCCATGACCCAGAAAGGACAAGGTGGGTAACAATAATAGGTGGACGGATTCTGTAAAGTAACTAGAATTTATCAAATAATTTTTGCTTTCTAAAAAATAAGAAGTTTTTCTTTCTTTGTCAGCATCCGTCGTCAAACCTGTCATTTTACAAATCAGAAATGAGTTCCTTGCTGTTCTGTGACCGTCTCAGCACAAGTTCTCTCTGCACCACCGTCACATAAACGGCCCTTGTGTTCAAATGCTGGAAACCTGCCGATGAATACCTCATGTAAGAGTGTGTAGGTGTGTGTGTAGAAAGTACAAATGTAGTACAGCTGAGCCTGCACATTCTAACAGGTCCATGTGGTGACAGAGCTGCAGGAGTTGCTGCTCATCAGTATTATATTAATAATTAATCCGTTGGATTGATTTGATTCAAACTCCCAGATTGGATGAACATCTGCGATGAATATATTTTAGAGCAAGTCTGTTTTAAGATGGCCTCCACAGCCAATCAACCTCAGCAATTGCAAAAAAAAAGGCTAAAATTTGAATTGAAAGCGGCTGAGAGTCACTTTTAACACTTGTACTGAGCACAAGGTTTGGCTTGAGATGGCGCAAAACAATTTTTATATTCAAGATCAAGGTCAAGATTAAGATTAAGGTCCCAGAATTCAAGATTCTGGGACCTTGAGTGCACAATTTCATTCCACCTCATGTACCACATGTGATGCGAATGACAATAAAGAACCTTGAACTTTGAAGATGAGACCAAAATGGCAGTAAAATCATTATTTCTCAACATTCAGAAGCTGGCATGAAAGATCAGGGGTGATATGCATTTCTTGGTACCACTTTACAATTAGGCTCCACTTATAGATGGCTAATAAATAGCTTATAGAAAAGTTATTAATTCCTCTATAAACACTTTATAAATCATAAACAACTGCTTATTATGCATTAATTAAGGGTGACAGAGGGACAAAATGCATTTGTTAACCTATTTTAAAATGCAGTACAACATTATTTCCTAAAAAATAGGTTTATAAATGCTTATTGTGCTTACACGGTATTAACTTAGTGTGAAATGTTTAATATAACAACTCTAGATGAAATGTGAACAGATGTGGCTCACTATTTGGCAACAAACTTGTCAGTTTTGTCTCTGTCACCCTTAATTAATGCATAATAAACAGTTATTAATGATTTATTGTGTTTATACATGAACTAATTATGTATCTATAAACTATTTATTAGCCATTTATAAGGGAAGCGTTATTGTAAAGTAGTACCCATTTCTCCAATGAATGCATATCACCCGCCATTTCTTCTACGCCTTTAATGTAGAGGTTTATCTTGAGCAAAAGTGGAAACGGAAAAGTTGTGTGAAATTTCAAGACATTTTCAGAGTAGTGTCCATTTCTGAACAAATCTTTGCGATTTAGTGTCTAAGCAGACACACCAGCCGCGGTGACAGGAGGACATTTATTTTGAAGACACTGAACGAGATGAAGCGTTTGTTTTCTGTTGGTCAGCGGCTGATCTGAACCCATTTCAGACCCTTTTAACAAGACGAGGAAAAAGCCACAATTAAACATGAGTACAAAAAAATAAAATAAAAAATGGTAGAGTTGTCAAACACTGTTGATCTTCCTGAGACTTTTATCTTGAAAGAAAAATGAATACAAAACAATAAGTTACACTGGCATCAAACGAAACACCGAAAACAGAAATTTACCAAAAACAAGAGCGATGAAAATCAGGAATGTTAGGTGAAATACGTCGATCACATATTAGCTTATGGTTAGAGTATCCTATAGTCCATGACTGATGGGGAAACTGCACTGTAGCTGGATGGTAAAAAAAAAAAACATGCAGATTTTTCATGAAAATACTTAATACTTCAAATACTAAGCAAACATGTTTTAACAGATTAAACCAAAGCTGACATTAAAGGCTAATGTATATCCAGTTTTCCCTCCCCCCCATTGTGATGCACAAGTTCAGAGAAATCTGCTTCTTAAAAACCTGCAGTGCATTTAGGCAACTTTTTCAAAAAGTCAGACATTTGGCAACTCCGTATTTAAACTTTGGATTAAAATGAGGCTCCATGGATGCTTTGAGCGTTTCACTCTTCACACATGTTGTAGTGTCAACAAGAGACCCCCACCGCAAAAATAAAAAAATACAACTATCATCATATATTCTGCTGGGTCGGTCAAACTCAGCCACGCACGCCCTTTGAGTTGGAATTCTTTGAATTCATAATTGAGTGCATTTGGTTTAACCCTCATTTACACAAAACGTCTCACAATTTAACAAAAAAGTTTTACAAAGTAACACAACATATGACTTAAACCGGCACATCTTCATCCAGCTGTGTGCAGAACATTTAGTCTCACAGTCACCAGAAATATTAAAGGGATACTCCATATCTGTTGAACTGGGGATTTATGGAAAGGTTACGAACAATGAATATCTTACCTGTTGCAGGTAGCTGTTTTTACTGCATCCGTGTTTATTTTGCTTGAATTGACAAGGCAAAAGCTAATCTCCAAATAAAATAAATAAAACACATCCTAAAACTATTATAATCCAAGTATGCAGTTGCTATTTTATAAAACTTTACACCACGGCTAGTTTCAAATGACAAGAGTCTGTCAGCAGAAGCGATCTAATATTTATGCCAGATGTGCTGCAGCTGCAAATAGAATTCTAGATAAATAAATATTGTTCGCTCCACAAGACGAGAGGTATTATGTTTTTGCCTGTGTCTGTGAATTTGTCTGTCTGTTAGCAAAATATCTCATGGACCAGTGGGTGTATTTTAATGAAACTCTCACAAAGTAATCAGTAGATCCACATTTACAACTGATATTGTTTTGGAATCATCGCAATTCAAGATGGCTACAACAACTAATCAACATTAGCCGACAGCAACATGTCTATAATTCAGCTACATTTACAGAGAGTGAGCTAAAATTTGGTGTGGTAGTAGCTGAGAGTCTTCCCCAACAGATACACCGAGGACTAACACCAGCTCATGAGATTGCACATGTCAAGAGGTTGTGCATTACGTTATTTACAAGGTTTGACCAAAAAAGCTGTTAAATTGATCACTTCTCATTTAGTTTCAAACTATGACATGGCAGTAAGCAATAAAGGAATGCTAGGTCTTTAATGTAAAATGAAATAGTGACATATCACCAGGACAATAACTATAAAAAATAGATTGAAGTGATCCACTTTAGTCTTTGACCCACTCAGATCAGACATTAGCTTATGAATCTGGTCAAAACGTAACTCTGCTGCTCCAAACTGAGGCTGTTCAAAGAGCTTCCTGTAACAGGTTAGATATTTATCATTCATGACCTTTCTACTTAACCCCACTTTAAAATAATAGAATAAACCAGAGCTATCCCTTTAACGAGGTTTGGCACTTCCAATAGGCTTGAACTACAAATATACACACAGTACTTATGGCACTTTTTAAACTCGGGTCCCAAACCAGTTTTTGTGACAGCAGCCCTTTCAGAAAGTTTGAACGTCTCTGCAGCTCGTTACTTTCTCGACGTGTTTAGCCGTCCAGCTTTTGCTCCAATCTCTCCTGGAGATCACAGCAGAAGTATTCATCATGCAAACCTTACAACAAGCTCAAACCCACGTCAAGCAACTTGACCGTAATAGTATCCGTCCTTGATCTGCAATTAAATAGAGCTTGAAGTTCATGAATTTCTGAGGCCCCGCATGTTGAGCCTGCAGAATGAAAACTGGACTCACAAAAATGCATCCGAAAGACACGAGACGCTGCCATCGGCCCCCACAAGGCTGCCTCAAGCTGCCAGTTTCAGCCAAACATCCTTGTAGTTTTTTTTGGCTACACCCTGTGTTTAAGCAGCTCTCAGGGATGGACCAGCCAGCTGTTGGCATCCTCCAAGTCTGACTCCAGCTCCTCATTTTCAGTCAGAGGTTTCGGGGTCCGGAGGGCCAATTCCCGCAAGAAAGCAGTTGAGTAAGCGGGAGGCTGAGAGGCTGACTTCAGCCCAATTTTCTTCTTCATCAGGTGGAACTGGTCCCGGATGAAGTTGTAGAAGTCGTACTCGTAGCGCATGCGGTGGTACAGCATCTGCAGGGCCTCCAGGGATGGGGTGTGTTTACGGACTGTGCCGGTCAGGTTCCCCACTTTTTTGTACTCTGCAACACAAACGCGGACACAAAAAGAGAGGAATATGTCGGCAAAAGCTTGAGCACAACTCTTTTCTTGTTTTGCATAAAGAATAATCCACTAAATGTGAATTGTTAAGTGCACCAACCGGGGCTCTTATAGATGTCGAGGACTCCAGAGAAGTAATGAGGTAAAAGCCTCTCCAGCATGAGGAGAACATCTTCCAGCTCCTCCAAGATGCCGACAAGGAGGTAATTCTCCTGAACGTTCTGTTTGGCCCTCTCCAAAGCCCAAACGCCAGGCTCCCTGAGAGAAACAAAGAAACTGTGAGATTTTTCTAAAAGAGACAAGTGAATCAACAGCTTTACTTGAACTTGGACATGCCTGCACTGAGGATGTTGTCCACAGAAGTAGGGGATGATGTAGAAAACCCGAGGGTTGGAGCACTCAGGATAATTCTCTAAAATGCACACATTTATGTCCTGAAAGTAAATAAACAGAAAACAATGATTTTAGTTTTGCAGCATTTTTTTTTTTTTTTTTTTTGGGTGGTGTTTAATTCTTGTTCAGCCCTCAAACACATTCTAATGACTTCAAAAAAGGTTGAATCATGTCATCTGGACTTCGTTTTTTTGTTAAAAAGAAACGTTTCGCCCCTCATCCAAGAGGCTTCGTCGGTCTGAGGCCTAGCCATCTGGTATTACCCAGAAGCCACCCTGACTCTTGTGTT